TTTTTTTTGTTTGTATTTCCCAGCTAGTGGTTTCCTGAGCTTTATGTATCTGCAAATTAGATGTCTTTAGTCAGTTCTGGAAAATTCTCATCTATTATTTATTCAGCTGCTGCTACTTCCCCATTTTCTCTCTCCATCTGTAGCTCTGATTAAATGTTTGTTAGACCTCACACTACCTTTCGTGTATATTACTTCTCTTTTGTTTTATCATTTCTTTATCTCTCTGTGCTGAATTCTGGATAGTTTCTTCAGATCTCTTTTCAGTTTATTAATTCTCTATTCAGGAGTGTCTAATTTTCTGTCATGTGTCTCTAATGAGTGTTTAATATGTTTTCTAAAGGTTTTTTTTCTTTAAATATGTTATAATATGATCTGCTTTATTATTATAAAGTCTTTCTCTTATTTGCTAAGGTTAACATCTTATTTCTTTAAATACATTAGGATACTTCAAAAAATTCATGTAAAATAGCATTAAAAGATAATATGAATCTTTTTATGAACTTTTTGAAGACCCCTTGTATTAAACATACTTATTTTATATTCTGTTCCTGATTCTTCTAATAACTCAGACCCTCATTGTTCTGAGCCTGTTGTCTTATATTTATGCTGACTGTCACTAATGGTGCCTGTTTTTCTCTGAATGTTTTGTGGTTTTTGAACATTAGTTCATATTTCTTGGAATTTTATCTGTTACACTATTTAAGGCCGAGGTGGAAGGTAGACTCCTCAAGATCTCTTTTCAATTCACTAATTCTCTCTTCAAGAATATCTAACTTTCTGTCATATATCTCTAAAAATTGTCTTTTTGTTTGTTGCCTCTTATTATTGGGGCATAACAAATCTGAGATGACTTTAAATTTTCTGATCTTTTGGACCACCTCAGATAGTGGAAATTTGGGTTATAAACCTGAATGAGTTATAAACCTGATTTTTGGCTCTTAATTACTCAGGAAAATGTTTTGCACTTAATTTGACACCTATGTTCTACGTTAAGTAATCAGGCAATTTCTTTGAGATCCCAGGATGTTAGTGTTTTTTTCTAGTTTTCCCTTATGGAGGTTGTGGCTCTTTGGAGTCCTGCCTTTTTATGGGAAGGTCTCTTATTAGACTCTTCACCTTGGGTTGGGGAAGGGGGAACACAAAACCATTAAATATAAAGGAAAGTTTTCCCAGTTTGGCAGCTTCCTTCAAGACAAAAGCCAGCTTTGGTGTTTTCTCACCTTTCTTAGTTAGTTTTTGGCCCTTAAATATTTCTTATTTTCTTGCCATATCATTGAACTTTTGATCAAGATTGTTGGTTAAAGCATCTAGTCCAATACAAGGGTACTTCAAAAAGTTCACGGAAAAATAGAATTAAAAGATAATATGTATCTTTCTATGAACTTTTTAAAGTACCATCATATATTCCCAGAATTGGATTTGTGTTTACTTCTTTCATTCTCTCTATCTAGTTTTCAGCAGAGAGAGATACTCTTTCAGCTACAGTTGTGACTCTCAGAGTCTCAGTTTATTTATCTATAAAATGGGGATAATGATGGCCCGGCCCGGTGGCGCACTGCTACAGTGCGCCGTCTGGGAGCACGGAGGCACTCCCGCTGAGGGTTCGGATCCCACATACAGACCGGCCGCTCACT